ATTGCAAAAGCCAGACACCTAGCAGAAAAGTTCATGCTTCGTCCTCTTAGAGGTGTTAATGTTATCTTTATGCCCCATGGGAGAAATGTGTGACTGAGCAGGCGTGTCTTCTTATAAAAGAGTGGGTTCCTGATACTGTCTTTGACAAGCACGTACAGATTTAGGTCACGAATTGGGCTGATAAAGATAATGTGTATGCCATGTGCAAAGCAGTGTTTAGTTCAGTTTAAGGGTTTGATCTTGCTCCTGCTTAACTCAGTCTCACATTCTTATACTAGCAGCCCACTTCTGTTAGCTGCAACCATGGATAAGCTGCAAGCTTTTTGACTAATTATGTATTTCTAATGGTCACAACAGCTCTGATCGGTGCACTGATTATTTAAGCACTGTGTAACTGAGATCAGCAGTTTTGCAGAGACCTGGGATTGAGGGGAGGGGAAGGTGTCCCTTATGAAAATGTCATCTTTTCCTTCCTTGTCAAAATACTCACAATGCTCATATACCTCAGGAAGGTTACTGCTTTAGCAGCCTGGAAACATAAACAGCTGAAGAGCCCGGGAGCCAGATTTTCATCATCAGTTTAATGATCCTACTAGTGAAAAGCTGGAAGTCAACAAGTTGAAGAGAGCCAATCAACCCAGCTTCCAAGAAACTTTACAAGTTAGTTGGCTGGAAAATGGACAAGTTTAAGCCTGACCATTTCCATTTAATCTGTGTTGGAACCAATGCCCTCCCAGCAATTTTCCAAAGGCAAAATAGCCCATCAGAAAGATTTAGACTTTTTTCTCTTCATTGTTCGATGAGTGACACTATGCCCTATGTACAGTGCACAGTTCCAACTCTTGTCCTTAATGCCAAATAAATAATTTCTTTGTGGGCATTTTTGTTGCATCCAGTGTTGTAGCATCAAACTGCTTCAAAAAGACCCGCAAATTTCTTCTTTGCAGCCTTCCTCTAATACAAAGATTATTTAACCCCATACTACAAACAAGAAAGTGAGGAATGGAGGCCCTGAGTTGCCTAGGACCTGATTTCTAAGAGAATTTGGCATTGCATAAAATGTTACTGTTTCAAAGCTACATTTCTATTGACTATATCTGGATCTGTGAGTACTCAATACTTCTGCAAGTCAAGCCCAGGTGTCTTTTAATAAGCATTTGAAAATGAGGAACTCAGAGTTGGTGCCTGTTTCTGAAAGCTTAACCCCTTGAAGCCAGAGCTGAAACACAATTTCACACTCTGTAAGATAAGCATCCCATGCATGGAAGGATTTAAGGCACTGATGAAGACATAGGTGTCTCAGAATGGGATATGAAATAGAAAAAATGATGAGAAACAGTGTGAAGTCAGCACTCTTCACATGCCACACACATAGGTCATCTGAAGGAGACTATGGATGAGGCTTGGAAACATGAAAATCTGGGAAAAAAAATCTTACTGAGTCTCACAGAACATCCTCTATCTCACAGGAAAACTACTGGGAGACCTGAGCCTTGAACAGTTTTGTGAACGTTCCTGTTATGAAAATTCCCTGTTGCCTTTTCTTTCTGGGGACTGAGTATGATTTGCTACAATCTTTTAAGATGGTTGATAGAAGAGAAACACTTTCCTTCCCTGTCTAAATGATAGAGTAGTGGTTAAGGTCAGGAAATAGATGCCTCAAGTTGCCTCCCAAGTCTGACCATGGGACTTATTATCTGAGCAGGAGATTGTTTTAACCACAGAGCTGCTGGGTACTGCCCATATTTCACATCAAAGATGCGCAATAAAAAATAATAGATACAACTTCTCTAGCCTAGTGACAGGGGCAGTCATCAACTGTTAAGTAGTGGATGTTGCCTGGTGAAGACCTGGACTTTAGATGGGCCTTTGGGGTTATCCAATGACTACTTAATGTGAAATAGTGTCTTTGGAGATGAGACTAGAGATGAGGTCTTTTGCCTTCTAGCTGAACAATATTTTAGGCATCTGCCCCTCTTTTGTCGAATGGCCACTGCTTGCTCTTCCAGCTTCAAATGGCCAGGTGAAAATCAGCCTAGACTGTAGTAGCTAGCATGCTATCTAGCTAGCAAGGAGGGAGGTGGATAAGGCTTTAAATTCTTTCCAAAGAGAGTGTTGAATGTGCATGCTCTTTCTCCTAGGAGAGTGCTCTAGAGGAGTTACACTATTTCCTACTCCTTGACTGTGTTTGAAAATAAAGTACTCGTGCTTCTAAAGAAGAAACATAGTCCTACTGATGTGCTTTAAGCATGCTCCTTACTGGCACCAGGCCAGCTCTCTCAGTCCTGTCAAAATCCAATTGCTCTACAATAGCAAATAGATATCTGTTGGATACTTGTCCTTACGTATCTTAAGTACTGCTATCTTATATCATGAGAAGCAACTCGTAGGGTATAATTCCCCAGAGGCTGTATGAGAATTGTCCCCACTTGGAGCTGAAGCTCCATCCCAACTCCATTTCAGCCATTTCTTATGTATCCTTTTCTTACGGAGTTGCCCTTTTCTCAGCATCACACAAGACTTTCAGGCAGAATCAGTGGCAGAATCACATTTCCTAGGACATCACTCAGTCACTAAAATCACACGGCTACTTTGCCTTTTCCTGTAGTCCTACCTCTCAGTCAGCATGTGTCCTCCAGCAGGAAGTGGATGGGAGCTGATGAAGCCGGCAGGCAACAGTCTCCCTCTGAATGGGCCATTGATTAATTTTTTGTGCTGAAGTAATTCTGTAATATTTGCACTTAGGAGACTGAGGACTATACCACATGCACAGGGGGATCATAGAATCATAGAATCATTTGTTTGGAAAAGACCTGTAAGATCATTGAGTCCAACTGTACCTGTCCACTACTAAACCATGTCTCTAAGCACCTCATCTACCTGTCTTTTAAATACCTCCAGGGATGGGGACTCAACCACCTTCCAGTGCCTGGTAACACTTTCAGTGAAGAAATTTTTCCTAATATCCAATCTAAACCTGTCCTGGCACAGCTTGTGGCCATTTCCCCTCGTCCTATCGCTTGTTACTTGGGAGAAGAGACCAACACCCACCTTGCTATGGCCTCCTGTCAGGCAGTTGTAGAGGGCAATAAGGTCTCCCCTTAGCCTCCTCTTCTCCAGGCTAAAGAACCTCAGTTCCCTCAGCTGCTCCTCCTGAGACTTGTGTTCCAGACCCCTCACCAGCTTTGTTGCTCTCCTCTGGACATGTTCCAGCACCCCAATGTCCTTCTTGTAGTGAGGGGTCCAAAGCTGAACACAGTATTCAAGGTACAGCCTCACCAATGCTGAGTACAGGGGAAGGATGACTTCCCTGGTCCTGCTGGTTGCACCATTCCTGATACAAGCCAGGATGCCATTGGCCTTCGTGGGCACTTGGCCTTGTTAAACCTCATACAACTGGCTGCAGCCCATCAATGCAGCCTGTCCAGGTCCCTCTGTAGAACCTTCCTACCCTAAAGCAGATCAACACTTCCACCCAGCTTAGGGTCACCTGCAAACTTGCTGAGGGTGCACTCAGTCCCCTCACCCAGGTCATTGATAAAGATGTTAAACAGAACTGTCCCCAACACTGAGCCCTGGAGGACACCACTTGTGACCAGTCACCAACCGGATTTAACTCCATTCACCACAACCCTTTGCGCCCAGCCATCCAGACAGTTTTTTACCCAGAAAAGAGTATGCCTGTCCAGGCCATGGGCAGGCAGTTTCTCCAGGAGAATGCTGTGGGAAACGGTGACGAAGGCTTTACTAAAGTCCAGGTTTCCTCATCCACTAAGTCAGTCACCTTGTCATAGAAGAAGATCAGGTTAGTCAAGCAGGATCTGCCTTTCATAAAGCCATGTTGACTGGGCCTAATCTTCTGGTTGTCCTGGACGTTCTGTGTGGTGGCACTCAAGATGATCTGCTCCATGACCTTCCCCAGCACTGAGGTCAGACTGACAGGCCTGTAGTTCCCCGGATCCTCCCTCTGGCCCTTCTTGTAAATGGGTGTGACATTAGCCAACCTCCAGTCAAGTGGAACTTCCCCAATGCTTTTGATGTTGTAGATGTTACTACATGAAGGGTATGTCAATATAGTAGCTTTGTTTCACACCAATTAATGCTCCCTCAAACAACTCTGGGCTCCGCACAACCATTTTGTGTAGTTTAGGAGTTGTCATACACCAAAGACCCTTCCCAAAAAGGAGTTTGGATGTAGCCATCATGTTTCAGAGGCTGAGAACAGTTATTACAGATGTGTCAAATAAGCTAAAGACCAGGGTATGACTGGTCCAAGCAAACAGATGTAGTGCAAAATTACTGTTGGGTAAAAACCTATTTTCTGTCTAGACCACTAGAGGGTGCAGACAAACCTACTTTGCCTTGAAGATTTATTTTTAGGTTACTGAGGCCTGGATATTTCAGGTTTTTCTCCAGAGTATTTGAGAAAAAGAGCTGAAAGGATCATGCCTGTCTGTCCTTTACAAACCTACTTACATCATCTGCAGCATGTAACCCAAAGTCTGTCTTTCTCCCATTAACCGCTGTCCAGGCTACCCCGCTGTCCTCGTCTACCTTGATTTGGTACTACCAGTATTCTTCTTTTTTTTTCTCTCTCTCTTATGATTTCTGTTCCTGCTTATCCACAGCTTCCTACCCTACCTCTCACCACCCCCTGTGCTCCAGGAGGATTCCCCTTTGATCCCTGCACTGCTTGATCATCACAAGGTGAATTAGCAAAAGTATGACAGGCTT